AGAGCCTAACACAAAGCGGAGCGGTGACGTACTGGCGCCTACAAACCTAACAGGGATACTTCACGCGTTGCGCAATGCGTGAAGTATCCCTGTTAGGTTTGTAGGCGCCAATGCGCGTTTCGCGCTGGCTGCCCGCTTGCCGCACCGCAGCGTACCACGGCGCTTGAAGCAACTATTTCACACCAGAGGTATTGCACAGTATCATACGAAACTGAAGGCGCTCTAATATATTAGGAATGGCAGGCATCCATCAAAAGTACGGAGCTTTCCTCGCAAATTAAATAAAGACACTACGGCCCAAAAAGAGAGCAGTGGTCCAAAAACTCACTAAGTCCTAGCATCCGTAATTAGTGACGTTCATCATTCACTTTATCGCCTGTAAATTATTGAGGAATTTTTCGAGCGAATTTGCAACAGTGGCCCATCAACATAAATCATTCGATTCGAAAGTTATTTTACCGATAGAAAATCTTTAACTTTTTGCGAATGCCGGGAAGAGGAAAATGTGGACATTTTGGCGCAAGTTTGACCCAAGATCTCAAAAAGTGAAGTGAATCAGTCATGAACCTACTTCTAGGACAGTATTTTTTGTAGAAAGTCGTGTTTTCAGTGATTAAAAGTCAGATAAAAAATTCTTCCGGAAGATTAGGTGTTTCTCAAAGATCCGATCACAAATTTTCATTCAAACTTTTTTAAATGCACTGGAAAAAAAACACATTAGATCTAGAGTCCAGACTCTTAAAAACATCGACAAGAAAAAATACTCTTGATTCAATCAGATTTAAGCTTAAATCAAGAACCAAGCCTCTTAATTTGAGCGGATTTCCTTTTGATTTAAGCTTAAATCTGATTGAATCAAGAGTCTTTTTTCTTGTCAATGTTTTCAAGAGTCTATACTCTAGATCCAATGTGGTTTTTTTTCCAGTGTGTTCTCGTAAAAGTATTGGGGAATTTTTCGAGCGGATTTGCAACAGTGGCGCATCAACATATATCATTCAATTCCGAAGCTATTTTAGCGGACAGCCATTGCCGGTCACTCAAATATCCATTAGCTGTGTACTCCTTCCACTCGCCTAGCGGGGCGAAGGAAGGATGAATGAAATTCTGAGCACATCCTTAGCAAAGATCCTCTCCAAGTTGAAGTATGGTTCGGCGAAGAGGACATCTATTCCGAAAAACGGAGGGAAACGGCTTGAGAATCAATAAAAGAAACGAAAACAGTCGGGATAACAGGATTTGAACACCTTCATAATCCCTCCGGGGGAATTTCAATCTTGAGTTGCCGCTGTGAGCGCGTGATACAGGGAGTCGTAAACTCTATTTTCAATTACAGGTTCGGCGCTGTTTAGAACGACGCGTTTGGCGGGTGGCCTACCCCAGTGCCCCTATCCGTGCTTTACTGATGATTTTGCTGCTGTAAATTCGTAATTCAATTTTTATCAATTTTATCCCCTTTATATGCGCCTAATATGGATGCATGAGGGTACGTCAGGAGAGGGGAGATAAAAAAGCGGGAATGAAATTCATTAATGAAGCGTGGGAATTCGGAATATCATAATCGCCACCTAGTGTTAATGAATTGTTTGAAAGTTTCCCTCAATTAGCTGGAATCTAATAATCTAATTACGGACAGCAATTGAATTGTTGACAGGCAGTCTGCAACGTCGCAAACAGAGATACGTGGCTTCGCACTTTGGCCATCGATGTGTCATGTGTCATCAGATTCCACGTGCAGAGAGGTGTTTTTATGATTGAGCCTGACATATTTGTAGAAGCTCCTAATTGCAAGATCCAATCCAATTTTTCGTGTATTCCCGTGCAAAAAGGGGTAATCCATTTTTTCCTGTGTTACCCTGCGAAAGAGGTTAAGGTACCATGACATTCTCGCATTTAATATGCAGACTGGTGATAGGACATGAAAAGGTGGGTGACTGAGATCGGAACAGGGTTAATTCGTTTAAATGGTGAGTACTAATCGATGAAATGTCGCTTCATACGATATTTAGATTAAGGGGATATTTTTTATGTTATCACTCTGTTCCAATAATTAATATTGACCCGCCCACCCTCCTTTATGACACGCGTGCGTGAAATAAACTAAATTGAACGAAATTAATCGGTACTGCGTCCAAGTCCGTCAAACGCTCAATTAATACCAACATGACAAACGCGGCTCAAATATCGCGAGGAAAGACTGAGTATGGGGGTCTGCCACTTCTCGCAAAGAAGGGCGGGTTAAGGCGGAAAGAGGAAAGGAAAACGGAATAAAGGATGAGTTTTGAAATGGGAGAACGGTGTAATTTAGTGTGCGGAAAGAACTCAAGCTGATTAAACAAAATGAAGGGTCTCCGATAACGTGCTGACCCGAAAACTTCAGATGATTACCGGGAAAAAAGTAAAAAGACGTCTAAATTAATACCTCTTTTCGTCCTACCGACGTAAATGAAGTTTAAATCCTCTTTTTTCATTTCCAGTGGAAAAGCGGGACGCGGCGCCGCGATTTTTCCAGATCTTAAAGAACCTTCATTTTTAAAAAGAGCTTTTAATGTCTCAGATGCTCCGAAAATAAAAATGAGAGAAGAATAAGGAATGTCCGACGAGATTGAACGCTTAATAAGACACTTACTCGCGACGTGATGTCGAAATTGGATGCATTAATGCTAAATGAGACGAGGCACAATAGGATATCATTAAAGGGAATTACAAAACTCAGAAACCGATGGCACATACCGATGGTGGAACTGCAGAGATACGTACCTCGATTGAAGTGTTTCGAAATATCCGCTCCTATTTTGTTTTTAAAAGGAAACTAAGCCAACATCACGACTTCAGTAATTCTTCACGAAGGACCGTAAAGCACGTATTACACTCATTTCTATGTCCTTTTTTTGGGTACGTTGATTCGCGCAACTCGAAGATTGTGACGCGCTAGACAACAGCATACTCCGTGAGTAATTTTTTTTCTCTTTTTTTTCTTTCTTTTTTTTTTGCAGTGAATCGATGGTGAAACTGCTAAATTGCGTACCTTAGTCGCGGTGTTTCAATATCTCCGCTACTATTTTAATTTTTTGAAAGGAGACCGAGCTAACATCTTGGCTTGAAATTTTTACAGAATATTTTTAAGGAGAAGAAAAGTCACTGAAATTTAAAAAAAAAATGACGTTCAGTAGTTTTCCGAATAGCATAATAGCACATATGCCAGGAATTCTTATAATGATTAGTATATATATTATTCTGCCTCTCCTTCTCTATTGCTAATGATTAATATATACAATTAACGCCGCAGACCGAGGTACGCATTTCTTCAGTTTCAGCGTTGATATGTTCTTTTGATTCAACTTATTTGTACAGCATATAGTTGCAGTAAATATTGTATCCTCTAAATTTTCAAAAAAAGACATAAATGCTTTTGGCTCCAGACTGTTATCAGTACGACTGACACCGTACATAATTTTTATTCTCAAGAGGTTATAACTGTAAAAAACTTGCGTGGTTTTTGTTTCTAATCACGTGAGTTACAAGTAAAATATGATAAAGTAAATAACATGAAAAAATATGATCTTTTCAGAAAAGCAATTTTCAATGAGAGAAGACGAGAGTTTGAAAATAACACACACACAAATGCACGCAGTATGCACTATTATTATACCTAAAAATTAATATAGTATTCGCACTTTTAACCCGGGTCAAAAAAATTACTTCTAACGAAGATTATTTTTTACTTCAAAATGCTTTAAATTCAATTTTTTATTCATTAAAGCTCAAACACACATCAAATATTCACATTATGGAAATAGAGCAAGGGAAAAGAAGAATGTTGATTACGGCGCAGAGATACAACTATTCGTGCTTGATGGATGTTCGTGTTGCATCTGCAAAACTGAAGGCGCTGGCGCAAGGCTTGAACTCGCAATGTTCCTCTTTTAGTGCTGCTATTGAGATGTCATGGATAGGTGGACCTCGGCATGGGCCTCAAAATCTAACTTTTGCTTCGCCCAATCACATTGCTTAAATTGTTAATGTAAGGTATCAACAATGAATACTGCCGTGCTAAGGAGAAACGCCGTATGAACATTCGAGAGTTGCCGAATTTTCCTTCGATAAAATGTTTATTTTTCCTTGAACTTCTCAGATGTTTTAGATAAAATTGTGTACAAAAGTGTCTGAAAAATTGGAGGAAAAATATCCAGAATTTTCCCAGTAAATTCGATTTATATTGAAGGAAATAAGGCAATGTCTGACGGTTCATCCTTAGCACGGCAGTATTGTCCTTGAGGTGAAGTTTAGTTCTTCAGTTGATTAACCTCACCTGAGGGAGGGCCCCTCTAGGCACCCGAAATGTTCCTGTCCATCAACATATGAGTACATGCCGCTCATTTTAAATTGCTGATTTTTTTTTTACTGCATGGCTAGTAGGGTATAACTACTTTTTTTTCCAAAAGAACTTTGACGCAATAGGAAAAGTTACGGTAAATGGCAAAGTGCTCTATGCTCAAAATTCTGAGAAAATTGCATGGAAAAATTCTGCTACCGTAGATTTTCGTCGCTGTATTTGTCTGCATCTGGGCTGCCATTACCATCGCAAATATTGTTTTGCGTGCATGCTGTAATTCTCGCCTGTACGATAGGTAGGTTTTCCTTGATATTCCAAATCTATGCATGCTTTTATGTATTTTAGTATTGGAATCTCTTTTTGCGCTGGATATTCCTTCAATGCCACTAATGACGTAAAGAGAAGCATACGTCCCGTTAAAACCTCTAGAAGTTGGAGCAAGCTTTTGAAATCCTGCGTAATTAAAAAACCAACACGAAGCTTTAAAACCACATTTACATCAGCCGAATCATTCCCTGTTAGACGATTTCACTTTGAACTTTGCATGTCAAAGGGGGGGGGGTATACTCACAAAAAAGGGAAAAGAAAAAAATCGACGGAGTCGATCACTTTTTCAGCTCCACATTGAACAACAGCAGACGCATCAGTATCTGTCCTTTTCTGAATGGTGTGAATAGATCCTACGACAGAATGCATTAGTCGTGCTAGGCGAAACGAACCGTGGAAATGTGTCTTCTCGGTAAGTGAGTGAATTAAGTATTAGAGCGTGTGTTGCTTTCCAGTACAATTTTAGCCGAGAAGAGAAGTCATTACGAAGAAGGCGTTTGGGTGTCGTAGAACGCCAGAGTGCGTTATAAAGCGACTTTATATATATAGAGAAGTCATTATCGAAAATAGATATTTTCAATGAAACTTAACTGTTTTTCGAGACCTTTTTATTCAGCCTGCTTCTTCCTTTTTTAAACTAAAAATTATCAGTGTAGTGAATTTTGTCTCCATTGCGTAATCGCTTCAAATATGGGTTTTATACACTAAAAAAAAATACTTGTTCATGAAAACGGAGTTCCAACTTAAATTTTCACGACCTAAATATTTTCGTTTGGCCTTCAATCTCATTAAAGCAGGAAAAGAGTGTCACCAAAACTCTTGGCAGAAAGAAGAAAAATGCACTAACTGTGCGGAGGCTACGATAATCACCGAAGTAGCTAACAGTTACGACTTAAAAAAATAACTTTAAGGTTCAGTTGACCGAGTAAATTGATTATAGAAAACGGACCATCGAAGTTTTCAAGTTTCAAGTTTCAAGTTTCAAGTTGGCAAAATTTCTCAGTTCCCGTTGCCAAGTCAACGAACTGGCCGATGTTTTTGCCAGTCAATGCACTAAGTAGCCAGCCCGCGGACTGGTCGGTCTAAAGATTAAAAATGACGTAAACGGCCCGAATGTTTAAAAATTATTTTAGGAATATATATTATTTCAGGAGTTTTAATACAAATTTACGATTTTTTTTTACAAACCGCGGTCAAATAGAGATACTTCGTAGGTCAAGAGACCTCGTAGGTTAAGATACTTTGCAGGTAGAGATAATCGCCGATTCAAATCGGGCATTTTGAAAAATACCAAAGCGCTAGAAATTATACCCCCCCCCCAAAAAAAAAAAAAAAAAAAAAAAAAAAAAACAGCAAAGCACGTTTTAATCGTCAGGCTCTAAATTTTAAATACCTGAAATATTAAAGCGATGAATTAATTAATAGAATTGCTAGAAAATTTACGATTAAAAACGAGACAGATACTGCTAAATGGACCAAGATGCGCCGAAAAATGTGGTCGGAACATGTTGAGAGGATGGACGGGGAAAGGCTTGTCAAGATTTGTATGGTAGGACGACCTCATAGCCAAAGGCAGCCCGGACGACCGCCCAAGAGATGGGCACCGAGCTGCCTTTCATCCCCGGAGGACCATTAAGTGATCTCTCTCATCGCCATCACATTTTACTAATTTAGAGGCTAGACAAACAGGGTCTCGGCTCTAGTCAAAAGTTAGAAGAAGAAGAAGAAAAACGAGTCGATGATTACAATATATAATGTTTTTATCGTGTTTTCATTTCTGGTTCTTAAGTCTTTTTAAGAATAGCCGTTTCAACTATTTGGCTTGGATACTCTAGCCTCGTGTCGCTAACTCGTAATACTCTCCCTGTTGGTAGTGTTGGTTCTCTATTATCAGATAGTGCTACAACTGTCGAGTCCCGTGCATCTCTGAAGAAATGCGAAAGCATGAACAAAATATTTAAAAAAAAAAACACTCATCGTTTTCTATCAAAAACTTACAAAGAAAATAAAAAAAAAGTCGAATTTTTTTTTTACACACCTGTGAATTTTTTCGGTACTTTTAAGTTTCGTTCAAACTCATACGATGCAACTGACCAAGTTATAAATCTCCTCTAGTTTTCAGGGTGGTTTTTCTGATATCCTTGATTAGACTCTCAAGAGGACATCACAAGGGCGATTTCACAAAATTGAACACCCTGCATGAGGAGAAGAAACTAGAACCGGGGGACATCCTCGCCAGTGACATCAACAATAACCTCCATCTCATCGGCCACAACGAGGTGTTTAAAATGCCGGACAGGGTAAACAATTTCAGGTATGACGTCGTCTGGTACTCTTTTAAGCTCCCTCTGACTGCCGCGCGGAACGAGGGACTCAATGTAAGGAAAATCGGTAGAGCCAAGGATCCTGCTAGAAGCATAGCGCTAGTAAAACAACTAGTAGGTTACTACGTGCCGTACCACTTTTACCGCTGCACGAAGGAGATGTACTGGAACTACCTCTTCTGGGAAGAGCAGCCCCGGTTTCGGGTCCCAAGACGCGTGATGCGGTCGTGCCCTCTAGCGGAGCCTTTGCACAAATGGAGAACTCAATCTATCGAGGCCGGTTGCTTTAAGTTTAAGGACTATATGGGTCGTGAGGTCAGTCTTCGTAATATTTCTTCGGAGCGAACCAGATGCTGTTGCATAGGCAAATTTTGTTGGATTTGTGGGGGGGACGATAGACCCCGTAAGAAACTACTTGGAGCGTCTGCCTCTTCTATGAACGAAAGAAAGTATCTGTCGTTTTCATCTGTCGCCGAGAGCGATGTAACTTATCGATCGATTTCATCTGCCGCGATGAATGAAGGGAAATCTCCACCGACGTCATCCGCCCTGGCTAGAAATATTTCCATACGCTAGAGTACCTGTGAAAAGATAATTTTTGTCGAATGAAAAAATGAAAATGTTCATTAAGCTTTGAATTAGAAATATTTTGTGACTCGATGAATATACAGGGTGTCCCAGGATTAAGTACGAATATTGAAGGAGTCGATTCTTTGGGTCAAAGGAAGACGTGTTAGTGGTATACAATTTTTTCGAAAAACGCTGGGGTCCATTATCCCTCTATTATCAGCTCCTATTAGTCCCTATTATCTCTAAAACGATGAGTTATAGCGAAAAAACGCAAGACATTTTCGCAATATTTTTCAACGCTAAATCTTATGGTGCCGTCAAAAATCAATTTTTGTCGCTAGAAACATTAATTTTGGGCACCTTTAGTCCAGTACCCCCCCTACCCCCCCAATGATTTTTACCTTGTTTGGAGGTCAAAAATTAAAAGAACGCTAAAAATTACTTCAAGTTACCATTTTTCATCAATATTGATTGATAAATATTGCTGCAGTGTCAAGAAGTCGATTTTTTTCCTCCAATTTTGGGGAGTCGCGGCGCCCAGGGAAAGCGTTTTTGGAATAAAAAAATTATACCACAAAAACGCCTTTTTGTGACCCAAAGAATCGACTCCTTCAATATTCGTATTTAATCTTGGGACATTCTGTATAACCGGACACCCGGTTAGCAACATACTGCGAATTCGTCAGAGCACGGATACATACGATAGGCAGCGGTTGAGGAGGTTGCACCGTCCACAGGAAAAATGCCGTAAATCCTATCAAGACTCAACATTTTTCTTGCACGCATACTGTTCTATTACGAGAAAACCTGATCACCATGATGCTTCATTTTGTCTCAATGGTAAGTCGCACTCATTTTAAAATTATGGATGAATTGACGTTGGTCTCTCGGTAATAAAACATTTCGTCAGTAACAAGCTGAAAAAATCCTGAATTGAGTCACGGCGTTGTTGCTGAAGACGGCAGTGGTGTACATATACGTAGTGGTGTTCATAAATTAGGATTTCACTATTATTCTTCGATGTAGTGATCAATAATTTTACATGTTAAGGCTGAACGTAAAACATTGTTTGAGCTTCCGTCTCTCTGTAGGGCGCTGATTGCACTCCGCCGTTTTCTATTCACCATTTTTTTTTTTTATTCTACAAAAGAGTTTACAAAGAGTATACAAAATGAAAATTACATGCGAAAATGACAATAAATTGGCAGGGATATTAAGACAAATTTAAGATTCTACAGCAGAAAAACATGAGGACATTAAGACAGCAGATCAGGCCCAAAAGAGTGTGATAAAATAGAAGACTTTAAATGAAGACAGCCAATGATTAGAGAGCATGTAGGAAGACTGGAGGTAGTGCAGGTTAAGGCATTAAACAAAGCGTAGAGAGACATTTAGAGCCAGAAAGTAAAGTCTGAGAGAGCTAAGTAAGGACCTTACCATTCACCATTCCGTTATTCACCATTTGGACGTATTTCTGTCAAACGGAACTAAGCGCCATAGGGAGAGGAAGGTAGGGGGGGCTTCGATTGGCGACGGAATCGGGTGTCGGGTTCATTCCGTCCTATACTCGCAATGCTTTTCCATGGGCTTAGTTCCGTTTAACAGAACGCGCTATCCGGCATTCTAAATTCTTCCAAAGGAACTCAAATTGGCGCTTAGATCCGTTTGGCAGAAATACGTCCATTTCAAGGTCGCAAAACTGACTCAAACAATACAATTTTTGTTAGGATGACTGAGTAGTCTCACTAGTCTCAGTCTAATATGTTTCCAATTTTTGTGTGTCACTAGAATACATTTTCAGTTAGAAATGCCAAATAGTTCCCCCGAAAATAACGATTGATGAGGGAACTTTTACAACGTTCACGCTCTGCCGTCTGGGTAACGACGATTCGGACGTATTTATGCTAAAAGGAACTATGTACATAGGGATTGCGTGAGACATAGTTCCTTTTGGCATAAATACGTTCATTTGTCCCATTGACCCTTCGCCAAGTCACCGGGGACCCTCGAGAGCTTAAGGACTCCTCAAGTAATTTACTTTTGCACTTGGTGCAGCATTCCATGATTTACTCGATTACAATTGATAATTGCTACTACTTTTGGAGAGTAAATAATGGTTCCTATTATTAATAGGAAACACCATTAACATATTATTATTATACCATTACTATATTATTATTATAATATGAATATACATATTATTACTACCAAACTTAAGTTAGTTATTTATTATTTCTAACATGATTTCCTTTGAAAGAATAATGATTTCTCTCCGCAAGGCGGACCGGCTGGGGAGATCAAAAGAGGCGATTGCCTCCTGTAACTTTGACCATAAAGGCTCCCCGGAGCCCCATAAGCAAAATTTGAGTAATTTTTAAAAAAATCTCACAGAGCCCCTTCCACAAGAGGGGCTCCTAATCCAACACACCCTTCTCATGCCCAGCCTAGGATTCGCGGATAACAATTCGAAATCCACCCACAAAGCGAAAGGATTCACCATTTCTCATCCACTCCGACCCCCAGAATCGTCCAACACTTTTCAGCTAAGTTTATTGCCTTCACCTGTTATCTCGTCATCCACCTCTCGCTCAGCCCGCAGCAACCCCCTACCGACAACAGGGCGCCCGTGGATTCCGTTGCGCATGTATCTCAATGCTGGCCGAGGTTCACGTTCCGGTGGACATAGGTCCTTTCACCGGACGGCTATGAAAAATCCCATCTGGATAGCCTCCCCCTGTCATAGCATCTTTGACGGGATCGGGTGATGCACAGCTCAATCGGACGGAGCTATCAATGGGGCAAAGACGCAATGTCGTGAACAGAATTCGATTCCGAGTACATGATAAATGGCCGCGTAGGATCGGCGAGACTCCATGGCTATGTTGCCATTTAGGACGTAATTCGATATGTTCCGTTATGGGCTGGGCGAATTACACGCCTGATAAGGCGACGTTGCGTCGTGTAGCAAGCGCATTGTGAAGCCATTTTCACGACGAGCCCGGGAGGGAGGGTGAGTGGGGGTGACAGGCATTTTATTGGACCGCTATTTCTACCCGTGCCATCCCCCACCTTCACTTACTGGTCCGACAATTTTCTCTTTTTTCAGGAAGCTGCGCCATCGGCGCTCATAATACTGCCGTGCTAAGGAAAAACGCCGTATGAGCCTTCAGGCGTTGCCGAATTTCCTCTGGCAAATCACCATTTTTTAGGAAATTTTTTGAATATTTTCCCGCTAATTTATCAGATAGTTTTGTTTGTAATTTGATCTTAAAAGTCTCAAAATTTCAAGGAAACATATTCATAATTTTCCTCAAACAGAAACATTTTATCCAAGGAAATTCGGCAACTCTCGAATGTTCATACGGCGTTCTTCCTCAGCACGGCAGAATAGCACGATGGGACCGCCAGGAGAAGTATTCGGTTGGAATGTAGAGTTTAAATAGATCCCTGAGGAGCCGATTGGATATCGTCACTTTCCGGCTAAAGTATCACAAGCGCCATGCGACGTTCCAAGATTTCCGCCGCCATTTTATTTTCTTACAGAGAAATTGCTGATCGAAGCTGTCCAAAAGTTTCACTGAATTTTCTTCGTGCTGCTGATAAAATTCAGTGCAATTTTTGAACGGATTCAACCAACAATTTCCCTGCAAAAAAATAAAATGGCGGCGAAAATTTTGAAACGTCGCATGGCACTTATGATACTTTGGAAGGTGACGATATGGACTTCATCTTGAAATTTAAACCAATGTTTTCGGGTATATCTACACACTCATGCGCATAGGGAAACTGGAGGCACACAACTACACACGGTGTTCCAAAACTAAGCCAGAAACTGCAGTTCCTAATTGCAAAATGTAGGCCATATATATGATCTTTAAATCCACGAAAACCTTCAAAGTCTTGATCCTTATATTATGATCGGTCGATTTTTTTACAACAAAAACAGTTGGACTGCATTTTGCGACAAGGAACTGTAATCTCTGGCTCATGCTCAAAAACACCTATCTGCGAACCTGCTTAGCACTTTTTAAGGAATCTCGCTACGTCTCTTGCGACCTGGGGTACTAGGGTGCTTCAACATCCCATAATTCTGACGGGAAGCTTCATGAGGCCCCTTCAGAACTCCTGTAGGGATCTCCAAAACTTGAAAACCCCACATGAAGGAGGACTATTGGTTAGTTCCCAAAAATTATCGGGAACCCATGAATTTTCGAACCAGATCGATACCGCTCAGAACATCTATTGAACCTTTTCTAGTCCCTTTCATCAGAAGATTCACTCAATCCTCATTTCAGCGGGGCTCACCCCCTGGAAAATTCGGCTGCCCACCATTGTCCGTGTCCGATCACTGAGGCAGAATTCAATGCTCCCATTTCATGTCCGTCAAAATTTCCGATATTCGAAACTTTTATGTTCCAATTTCTCCCAGTTTATGAGCGTCAAAAGTTCCGGGATTCCTTGTAGACTTTTTCAAAAGTTCCGAGAAAGTTCCGGGAAATGCAAAAGATCCGGAATATTTCGGGAACTTCGAAAGTTCCGGGAAAAATTCAGAAAAATTTCAGAAGTTCCGGGAAACAATTGGGAAATTCTCAAAAGTTCCGGAATTCGGAACTATTTCCGGGAAATGGGAGCATTGGCAGAATTCGTATTTACATGGACGGAAGCCAGAGTTGCCGTCTCGCAAGATTAGCCCCTGCTTAAAAGTTGGCGGTGGGGGATGGAGAGAATAATCACGCGGGGGAGGGGAACAGAGGGGGAGGGGCCGCTGCTTGTAATGCTAATTCTTCTTTATCCTCTTCCGACTTGGCTTTCCATTCGGAAACGGCGGATACGCGGGACCGTCGTCGCGGCCGGGGTGAGGAGGCGCGGAAAGACAACGGTCGCGGGTGGAAAACTTGGCATTATTCCGCCGAGCTAAGGAAAAACGCCGTAAGAGCCTCCAGACGTTGCCAAATTTCCTTCGACAAATCTCGGATTCCCGGAAAAGTTTGTAAATATTTTTCCTCCGATTTTTCAGAGATTTTCGTCCGTAATTCGATCTAAAATTATGTGCAAAATTTTTAGGAGAAATATTGACAATTTTCTTCGAAAATAGACATTTTCTGAGAGGAAATTTGGCAGCGCCTGAAGGCTCATATGGCGTTCTGCCTCAGCGCGGGAGTATTCTCGTCGGTGGTCGGACGCGGGTAGGGAGGGCTGTAATCAACGCTTTCACTCCTTGGACAATGAATACAAAGAACGCGGCTCTTTTGCCCGGATAATGCGCCACGGCGCCCCGGCACTTTCCTCGTCCATGATCGGAGTCGAAATCATTTTCCGTTTCGGAATGATTTCCCTCGTAATTCTGCAGTCGCGGTTTCTGACTGGAAATTTCAAGGAAGCGGATACCGCCGTTTCTTCTCACGAAAAAACGTAACAACCTTTCAATGTTGGCGGATTTTTCCGCGCAAATAGCGGTTTTACCAAGAGGCATCGCTGAGCTCAATGAGCATTTCTGATTGAAAGTTTCGTTGATTTTTCTTCTGATCTCGTGCAAAAATCAGACAAATTTTCGACGAAAATTATACAGGTTCACTCTTGTAAAAAGTTGAACTGTGGGACTCAATTTTTTTCAATCTTAAAATGGAGTTACCATCTTTTGTTCAGGAAACGACGCATTATTATGGACAATGCTGCCGTTCTGAGGAAAAATGCCACATGAACATTCAAGAGTTCCCAAATTTTCCTGGAGAAATATGTTTTTCTAAGGGATGTTATGCATATTTACCCATGAAATTCTCAGATAATTTAAATGAACTTGATTAAGTACAAAATTGTCCGAAAATTTTGAGGAAAAATGTTCACATTATCCTCTTAAAAATTTGGATTTTATATCTAAAGAAATAGCCTCCCCAAATAAGGACTGAAATTCGCCCCTTTTTCGGTATGCGATTCGATCGTCAAACCAACGTTTAAAAGGAAGCTTATAATAACAGAAAACTCAAGAAAAAATTTCAAAATGAGTGTAGGAACTGTTTTCGAGTTACGGGGAGGGGGGGGGGGCAAAGGGGTCAACTCCGGCCTTATTTTTCGCTATTTTCTTGTTGAATTGATATGTCTACGGGGTTGTTATCGTTGTTAACACATGTTATACACGACGTTTCCACCGTATTTTTACAAGAAAAATCGAATTTTAATGTTGACGAGTCAACATATCGACCGGTTCTATCAAATTTTCGCGATTTTTTTAGGAAAATCGATGATATATTAGTGTTCAAATTGGTTATTCTCCATCCGAGAACAACCAAATTTTCGGTTTGAACATATTTCCGGGGTTAGAGGTCAGTAGGTCTACGGGAATGTGGTCTATTGTTTGTAGGTCTACTGCAAAAAGTCTACTGACTTTGCGTCTACAGAAATGAGTCTACGAGTTGTAGTCCAAAAGTGAAACCAGTAATTTAGAATTTTCTTTTCGCTCTATCGATGTTTCCTCAAACCCAATGCGACATGAATTCACCCCGCGTAGAGTCAAGACAGTCCCAATGATACAGCGTTAAATCGAACAAAAAACCAAACCGTTCGTAACTTCTACAAAAAAAATAAGGAACAAATTATAAAATCGGTTAAAAAATCAACAATTAATCTGGCGACTCAGTAGCTCAGATACGTATCATTAGAGTGTCGCGGCCAGCTATGGCAAGTGCGTTTGAATCTCGACGATGTCCTGCCGCGCCGCACAGTGGATCGAGTCAATGGAGGAAGTCGGACATGAAAATTTTGACAAAAATTGTAAAATTTTACGTTTATCTCATCACAATTTTAATTTTAAGGGGTGCTTTTTCTAGACAATTTTAAGAGAAAACCAATGAAACTATTTTTAAAACATCAAAATTGCATATTAATAAAGATTTATGCTTTTAAAGTTTCTAAATTATGTCCGACCTCTCCCATTGACTCGATCCACTGTGCGCCGGCCGGAGAGAACCGTGGATTCTCATGTCCGCTATTTTACAAATAACATGGTTTTCAGTTTATATTTCGCCAAAAAATTGCACTGGAAGTCTGAAACTTTGCACATGCATTCTTGAGGGCTTCAGAATTCGAAAAAAAAGCGTTTTTCCTAAGAACGATGGATGTCAGCGACCGTTATTGTTACATGTAAGTCCTCATATGTGTGTGTTTTGTGGATCAAAATAGGACTTCCTTCTCCTGTTAAAACATTTCCGAGTGCTTTTGGGTTGCATCTCTCCGAAAGTCCTTGGATTTTAATTGTTCTTCCCACATCTCGGCGGGCGGCACCCGATTCCCTCCCGAGATTCCCTCCCGGATCCAATTCCCTCCCGCTAATGACCGCTGCCCAAGTCCGTTTCCGATTCCCTCCCGCTAATGACCTTTAATAAAATGAAGCGGCAACGTCGCATTAATCATTCAACTTACCATTTCCAGAGAGGTGCGCTGTTTCCCGTGAGTGTTTCAGGAAAATTAGTGTATATTTACAAAATTATGATGATTTGATGAAAAAAGTGGGCTAGGTTGATAGAAAGTTCCCAAAGTCTATTTCATATGTATGTGTTCATATGCATGTTGTATGTAGTTTATCTGTGAACATCCGGCAGCCATGAACATGACTTAATACTGTGATTTTATTTTTTGTGTGACGCATCGGGCTCTCTACACCCCTTTTAGTTTTTTTGTGAACATCCGGCAGCCATGAAGAGGGTTACAAAAGGGGGGAGGGTTCTCAAATTTTGTTTTATGCATACATATGAAATAGACTTTGGGAACTTTCTATCAACCTAGCCCACTTTCTTTATCAAATCATCATAATTTTGTGAATATACCCTAATTTTCCTGAAACACTCACGGGAAACAGCGCATCTCTCTGGAAATGGTAAGTTGAATGATTAATACGACGTTGCCGCTTCATTTTACATATATTAAAGGTCATTAGCGGGAGGGAATCGGAAACGGACTTGGGCAGCGGTCATTAGCGGGAGGGAATCTCGGGAGGGAATCGGGTGCCGCCCATCTCGGCAACGGTAATGCACCAAATCTTAAGAAAATTGGTATGCCCCAACAATTTAGTACGCTGAATTCATTAGTGACATCAGGAAAAGTAAAATCTTGGTTAAAACCAAGGTTTCGGGGGGCATGGGAGTTTGACTTTAAATGGCCAATGACTTGGTTCTTTTGTGAATAAACGAGGTATTTTGCGGACCCCCTGAAACCTCACTTTCAATTGAGGTCTTGATTTTCTGTTATTGATTTGAGCGCATCAGAGAATGGGTGAGTACTAATTCTCACGAGATTCGGTGCATTACTTTTGCCAAAATGCAGGAAATACTAAATATTTTCCAGAGCTATATGCATATATACTATTATCACCAGAATTATTTACCAGAATTATGGGTGTGGGGCTGTGGCCCCCTCAGGGATCCACATGAGAAAAATGTCATGAAAGATTGAGGTCTTATTTTGACCCATGGAACACGATCCTGTAGTTTGACGGTTGAACCTCGGATCGCCCTATATTTTAGGCGTCTTGCTGAGTTACAAATGTATTTCTTTTCGAACGGACACTTGGATACAATAAAATAAAAAAAAATGTTCGATTTTATCTGAATTCTGATTAATAAGGTTCCAATATATTACATGAAGTCAATGGAATTATACATTTAAGTTCAAAGCAGGATGTTGGAATATTATTGGGTCCACATTATTCTAAAGAGAAAACAAATGAAAGAATAAGTAAAACAAATGAAAACAGAGGTTGAAAATACTTAAATTGAGAGGTTTTAATAGACACCAAAAATTAGTGTCCTTTGAATAATACAGAGCTAACAGTGGCGTGGCGTGAATAATCGATTAACGGTATTTGAATGCGTGGTAAATCCCCATTTAAATCCGTGGTAAAGAATCGATTATCAAGGTGTTCGTTGTTCAAAAAAAAAAGAAAAAAAAATTCCTAAGACTACTGGTTTCACCCGATGTTTTACAACCAACAGATATCCATTGCGCCTATAGAAGCTAATTGCAGTCATTCATTCCAAAAACATTCTCTAGGTGCTTATGGCCCAGCTTTGTTAAAGCACCTATAAATAAATGTATAAATAAACACACGAACGAACATTTATTTTTACCCCCATGGTAAACCCCAAAATAATGAAAATCATAAAATAAATATGTTAGATTCCGAATGCAAAATATTCTATTTGATTCGTCATATGCAACGATTAATTATCGCATTTACAGCTTACTTTTAGGGTTTACAGATACAATTTGCGGGAATGAAACAACTGAAATATGTCTCTGGGCGTAATGGATCCTTTTTGTGCAAAAAGTGAAACCAGTAATTTAGAATTTTTTTTTTTCGATCTATAGATGTTTGCTCAGACCCGACATAGATTCACCTCGCGTCCAGTCAAGACAGTCCCAATGATACAGCGTTGCTCATAATTCCATGAAAATCTACTATCCGGAGTACTCTTCCTTGTGGGTTTCGAAAAATCTCTATTAAGCTATCTAATTCTCAGGAGGAGTTTCGTCCTGTTCCTGTTCGGGTGTTGGATGAGCTTGTTTGCCGGTCAAACGGTTTGGATTTGGTGTCCCGATGGAACAGCCAAAGAACCCAAGCACGATGAGGAATAACAGCAGAATCGCCAATGTCTTCATGTTTGCAATCTGCGAGAAGCACAACACGGTATCAGAGAAATAGATTGCACTAGAGAAGGTAAGAATCAAAACACGGGAAAACCCAATTTCTTATCAACATTTCACTTAGAGGACGTTGAAAATATTGAAAAGCATCCAATTTAATTCGGACACGCGAGTTTTTTTTATCTTTTTTTTTAAAAAAAATAATAAAACGACGACTACCAAATTTTTGAGAAGTAAAAAATTAGTACTTTAGGATTTTATAGAAGTTTCAACGTAGCTTTGCGTCTCCCGAAATCCGCAAGGTCCAAAATTGTTGCATTCGATAGAGGGTTGGACATGGACATGTTTTAGATGTGGACTTTTTTAACTTTGGACATTTTTGTACTCTGGACTTTTATTTTCGGACATTTTGTCCTATTACCGTTTACAAAAGTCTGAAATCCACTCCTTAGTGCGCTCCTTAGTTCGGATTGTACGATTGAGCTTTTTTTTTTTCAGAGTGCTTTAAAATCGGAGAGTTCGAATTTCCCTCTTGCGAAAAACTTCAAAACGAACACGAGCCAAATGGACCATCGCAGACAGAATTATCGTTTGGAAAATTACTACATCTAAGTTTTACAAAAATTCTCTCTTTCTTCAAACGACAATAATTGTAAATTCGCAGAGGAAAATTTAGCGTGAAGACGAAGTTTCTCGTCGTTACGCGCCCTTAAATTAAACTGACCGTAACAGAAACGCACCAAATCACATTTTGGAGAAACATGAGATAGCGGGAGTTTGGAATTCTACTAGCCGTAAATTTTCTCTTGTCAAAAATTCAACGTTGAGAAACAATATTATGAACGTGAAAACGGTTGCTAAATTTTACCTTTAACCGGATTCGTCACGTGCTCGAACTGGCGTGCGATACATCACATCGAGTAAGACAATTAAGAGTCCTGGTTTTTTTTTTTTTTTTTTTTTTTTTTTTTTCTTCAGGGACATTCCCCATCTGACTTTATTCAGTTTTAATGTGATACAAAATAAATGAGTGTGCATATAATAATTGTTTACATGGTGTTGATAAAATTATTTACATTTGAATAGGACGGAAATTATCGGTGGATATCTCTATCGCCCTTGTAAGAGTCCTGGTAGATTTTGAATTTTTCGCCAAAAAAGATATCTGTAGCGCACTTGAGCCTGAAAAATCATTCCAATCCAAACAATTTGGCAAAATTCAGAGAAATGAAAGCAGGATTTTTTTTGGGAAAAAAATCTCGCATTTGATGTAGAAATCGATTTTGTTTTCCAAAAAGAATCCTGCTTTCATATCGCTGAATTTTGCAATTTTTTCGAACGGCTCTGTCGGGTTCATGCGCAGGTGCTTTCGTTCTTTATTTGGCTAAAAATTCAAATTCTACCGAGATTTTTGTCTTTATCTATGCGATATATCTCACGGCAGTTCGAACACGCCAGAAACTAGAGAAATTAACGACAATCCTTATGGAGGAATTAATCATTAATCCTTTTAAAATCTGTCCAATAACTGTAATAGTTGGTTTTTTGTCGAGCGGAATGTTCAACTATATAGTTACAAAAATCTCAAAATTCTATTTTATGAAGTGAACTTGGACATTTTCAGTGTGTCCATCGTTAAATTTGGCTATGAAAACACGTATCGCAAAGCTTGATTTCTTACCGTGTTTAGCGTCCCGCTTCTTGTTATCAGACGGTGAAGTTCAACAATAGTGACGCCTGTTTATTTCCGATCGGCCCGACTGAGATTTCGCTGTGATAAACTTGGTGTCAAAGTCAAAATTTATGGGAGCGCTGTCAAGATTTTTGATTATACTTTATTTCCTCGTTGACTTATACCGTTGTACAACGCAGTTTAGATTTTCCACTCGCTGAACACCGCACTGAGAAAAATAAATGAACAGTATGTTGGAGTTTTTTTAGCCAACGTGCGTTCAAAATTCAGCATTAAGCTGACAATCTCAGTACAGAGGGAAAAAGCTCATATGAGCACAATCTTACCTGAAAGACGTAAGCTGTTTGGTGCAACACTAGTTATGACCATTCAGGAAGGCAACTGCAGACGCTTTTCGGCCTTGTTGGGCCAGTCCTCAGTGCAGTGCTGCCTCCTGAATTTCCTGCTACTAAGCTCGGAGAGGTCGTGAAAACCACGGAACCCGAGCTTTGGGCAGCATATCTCCTTGAGGGAATATTGTGCTCATATGAGCTTTTTCCCTCTGTATTGAGATTTCCAGCTTTATGCTGATTTGTAACGCACGTTCGCTAAAAAAACTCCAACATACTGTTCTTACGACCCGTGCGTCCACCGCAATCAGTTTGTATAAATTAACAGTAGAATTCTGCCGAGATAAGGAAAAATGCCGTAAGAACATATGAGAGTTGCCAATTTTTCCGGATAAAGCATGTATTTTTAACGGAAGTTATGTTTATTTTTCTGTGAAATTTTCGGATATGCATGTTCAAGCTGCGAAAAAAATTACCTGAAAGTGGGGGGAAAATACTCAAAAATTGTCCAGTAGATTCGGTTTTTAGTGAAGGAAATGTGGCAATATCTAAAGGCTCATACAGCGTTTTTCCTTAGCACGGCAGAATTCCGGTCGTCCTGATTTCAGTCATACGGACCTCCAATGGACCGCTAGACGAGATGCGAATTCAAGCATTATGATACATGTTTTCTCTTCAAAAGTTCACGTTCTATGAATCGAGAATTACTGAAATCAACTTCCAGCCAAAATATTAACTGCAGTTGCACTTAGCACTGGCTACACAAATTTGAAATTCTTGCCCACGCAGAAATCAAAGCAGAATCTACCTGAATCAAATCGAGTACTACAACGGTTTTGGCAGGCTTCATAATGGAGCGATTTTTCCTCTCCGCTTAGTGTTCTGCCGTGCTGAGGAAAAATGCCGTATGGACATTCGAGTGTTGCCGAATTTCCTTCGGTAAAATGTTCATTTATAAGGAACATTATGAATATTTTTCTTTGAAATTTTCACGAACTTTAGGTGTGATTGGGAACGAAATTATCTAAAAAAAAAAAAAAATTGGAAGGAAAATATTAACTAGTTCACCAGGAAAGTCGTGTTTTATCAAAGGAAATTTGGCAACGCCTGAGGGCTCATACGGCGTTTTTCCTTAGCTCGGCGCAGTGTTGTTTAAAGCATTTCTTAACGTGCAACACCTGAGTCGCAGCACCGAGATTCAGGTGGCCATATTCTCATTCCGCAGAGACTGTTTCGGTAACTTTCAGTCGTTTGACTCACGTAGACTTTTGTTTTTTCATGCATGAGCGGAAGATTTAAACATTTATGCATACGGAAGCGTCAATATTTTTGCTACTTTTCGGTGAAACTACCAGACCACGTGTCTTGGTTTGCGACGTTGCAAACTTCCTATCATACTTTATTTTTTAATCGCAAAACTACTCAGCATAAATTCTTGAAAACTTCTATGATTTATCTTCTCTGCTCGTAGGAAACTGTGAAAACTTCAAGGAATGATATTGATTTGTTCTTGCTCAAAAAAATAAAACGGGAGCTGAGATACAGGTCTGGTAGTTTCCCCGTCGTTTTGGTAAACATTGAGGTAGGCACAAATATCGTTCCACTTGTTTTGATGAGATAACATATATCACAATGCTTAAATTCACAACTTGTCTAGTGAAGCATTCTTCCATAAATATCAATGATTGATTCCATGACCACAGACACACTCATTCTATGATCCTAGTGGAAAACTCTGTAAAAGCTTCAAGGAATGATATTGATTTATTCTTGCTCAAAAAAATAAAACGGGAGCTGAGATTTTGAAACATAGCAAACGAGATACGTATAGATACAGGTCTGGTAGTTTCACCGGCGTTTTAGTTATTATTGTTGTGGGTAAAAATATTGTTCTACGTGAAACTTTGACAGGAAAACATTTATCATAACGTTTAAATTCACACCCTGTCAATTGGAGCATTCTACCATAAATTTCAATGATTGATTCCATGACCACAGACATACTCATATTATGATCCTATCAAGGGGGAGGGGGGGTATCATACAGATGAGAATTGCAAAGAGCTTTCCTTCGATCGGCAACATTGTTGCACCAGCTGGAGGCAACATCAGATTAAGCTCGCCCCTGCACTCGGGTGCACGCGGTGCCCGGGTGGGACTTTTGATTGGCTCCCATTAGTTTCAGTGTCCTAAAGCGAGGGACTTGTTGGTCACATTTGTTAACTCCCAAATCCACTCCCAAGTTCAACAAATGTTTTCTTAGTTAATTCTCTGATGCCACCCATGCTCCAACACGTGTTGCGGATTTGATGGCTTGCATTAAGTCTGAACATGTATCATCTTTCCACCCTCTCTACTGCTGAGCAAAGGTAACTTTCCGCCGCACTACTTGGCAACCAGGACACTCATATGCTCTCCAAATCCATGCTATTTGTCCTCTTTTAATGGTTGGCCAGCTGGATTTTATTCTGCAGTATGGGACTGCTTTTTCTGGCTCATTTCAGAAACAACGTACGTACTCTTGGTTTCCCCGTGAAGATATAAGTGTTTTCATGGATGAGTTAGAAATTGGAGTTTCTTATTCAAAAATGTTGTCCAGCTGTGTCTTTGAGGCCAGTTGTACCACCTCTTGATTAAGAAAACAACTTTAAATGCCCTTTTTAGGGAGTTTGGCAGGTTCTGGAGGCAAGACTACGGCAGTTACGGGCTCGTCCTTAAATTGGACTGCATTTTGAAATTTGGAACTATAAATTCGGGCTAATCTGAAAAAACACTTATGTGCATAGGGAAACTAATGGCACATACGTCGTTTTGCAACCGGGCCAGAATTTATAGTTCCAAATTGCAAAATGCAGTCCAATTAATGCTTTAGGGGGGAGGGGGGTTAAGCAGAGCGTAACGCAGTTTGGTTTTTGGGTGTTAAAGGATGGGGAGTTGGGGACCCACGTCACCAAAGCGTTACACGAGGGTTCAAAAATTCCGGAAAAGTGCGTTTCGTAAGTAAGGGGCGCACAGTGGATCGAGTCAATTAGAGTGGTCGGACATGAAATTTTTTACTAAAACTGCAAGATGTTTACTTCGTCAGATTCCAAATTATGAGAGGTGTTTCTGAAAGAAAATTTCACGAGGGGACCAATAAAAACACTTTCAGAGTCTCAAAATTTTATTTACACGGAATTATAAGCCTTTAAAGTTTCCAAACTTTGTCCGACCTCTCATATTGACTTGATCCACGGTGGGGCGGTCCAGGTATTGCGGAGCGTCAGAAAGCGCTGTAAAAGCGGCTCATATGTAAGTATTTTTTTTCCGGGTTGAAAATGAAAATTAGATGAGAATTCAGGCTCTATTACAGGAGAGAACAAGCTGCCAAATCCTGGCAGCATTGCAATGTGCTCGGTGCCTTTCCGCTGAAGTCGTCAAAATCACTAAAAACCAGGAAAGTACGGTGCTCTTTGCCCAGCGTCTGATGACCGAGCAGTCATGTCAGATTGCGGGGATGCACGATCCAATTTCGAGTGATTTCAAGGAGTAAAACGAGAGCTTCCCCTAATAGCGTGACAATATTGGTTCAAGATTGACTTCCAACCCAGAATCGGTCCGCGAGAGTGTTCAGGAATCCAATATGGAGCTTAGGATTGCTCTCGGGTCATCCGGATCTGCGCTCTATCAGTGTACGTGTGTCCGTGGAAAATTGCATTCGCGAGGAGCGAAACGAGTAAAAATAACAATCGGACAAATGGAGTCGATCAGAGAGAGGAGGTAATGACGCTCATGACTCGGTCCACTCTGAGAGGATTGATCAAATGATCAACCGGAGAGGTTGGACGAGGGAATTTACCCCACTGATGCATTTCGTCATCCCTAAGACGTAAAGGTGTATCTCCATTTCCGCAAGAGCCCTAGAGAGCTTTGATTAGTATGTAAAACAGGGCTCACGTAGAAATTGACATACGTCTGTACACCAGAGAGGCGAAGCGACGGTTTATCTGCGGTTGAGGGATGGACATGGTAAGAGAGTAAGCGTCTCAATACATGACTCCTTATCTAAATTTATCGTCGAATGCGGTTGACACATTTCCGAATTTATCCTTGAGGGTTGGAATTACCGTCTTTCGGTCTATTCAATTTTCTGATTCGCCGGAATTTTGAAAATCGTTGGGGAAAAAATGAAGAGTCGGTGACTTTGCCAACGTACGCTTGAAGTCAGTCTAAAACTGAGCTGGATGGTAGAAAAGTCAGGAGACTGCGCTGCACTGATGATGGGTTCAATTAGACTCGAAACGCGTCTGCAGTTGCCATCCTGACTGGTCGTAACCAGTGTTGCACCAAAAGAATAATTATCTTGACAGAAAATTGGACTGTATTTTGTAATTCGGAACTAAAAATTCTGGCTTATCTGTAAAAACACGTATGCGCACAGGGAAACTAATGGTAACGAAACATATGTTATTTTTATACTGAGCCAGAAATATTAGTTCCAAATTGCAAAATGTAGTCCAATTTGTGCTCGGATGGGCTTTTTTTCTCTACATATAATGAAACCTCAGTTTTAGATTGAACTTTGAGCGTGCGTTGGCAAAATCACGTACTCGCTAAACAACTCTTACGTCGATCCCCATTTTTGCTAGTTAAGAAAAATACTTCTTAAATTTGCCGCTAGGAAATACTTTGTCTTGGATCACGAATTACGCTGCTTAGTCAGAATGTTTTTGCTTATCCCAAGAATTTTCTTTTTAATCCCTGAGAAATTCAGCTCAAATCAAATTAAGATAACATTCTTGGTGGCAAATTCAAGAATCATCATACTTG